TTGATCTCACTCAAGATTTATGAAAAGTGACTTAAATTACAAGATTTGAAGTTCAATCAACAAATTATTTTTGCCAGATAACTTGTTTTAACAGAAGAAAATACAAGGATAAATATTAATTTTATATCAATAAGAGAATCGTTAACTTATTATATTAAAATTAAAATTTATTAATTTGTTTAAGTATTGAAACATGAGATTGATACATGGGAGAGCACTCCTATTTATACAAAATTTGTCAATATATTTTAGTTTTATTTTTGTTATAAAATTATAAAAAGATATATATAAAAGGTAGAAAAGGTAAATAGAAAAAGGTAGAAAAAGTAGAAAGTAAGGGTAGTAAAGATAGAAAAGGTAAATAACAAAGATAGAAAAGGTAAATAACAAAGATAGAAAAGGTAAATAACAAAGGTAGAAAAGGTAGAAAATGTAAATAACAAAGGTAGAAAAGGTAAATAATAGGGGTAGAAAAGGTAAAAAAAAGTAAATAATAAAGATATAAAAAATAGAAAAGGTAGAAAATAAAGGTAGAAAGAGTAGAAAAGGTAGAAAATAAAGATAGAAAGAGTAAAAAAGATAGAAAATAAAGGTAGAAAGAGTAGAAAAGGTAGAAAATAAAAGTAGAAAGAGTAGAAAAGGTAGAAAATAAAGGTAGAAAATAAAGGTAGAAAGAGTAGAAAAAGTAAATAAATAAGATAGAAAAGATAAATAATAATAATTATTATACGATTATTAAATGATTGATATGTATATACTATTTTTATCGATTTGTTGTTTTGTTACTATTTTTGAAGATTTTCATATTTTTACTATTTTTGAAAGATTCATTAATTACAGAATTATTGAAAATAATTGTAACAATATAGTATGTATGATATAATTTTCTGTATCATACGATGTGTTATCTCATATGCATATCGATCGAGATTTATAATTTACCCATGACGATAGTGGCGAATGACTTTCTTTTCACACAAACAATTTACTTACGACAAGTATCGCTATATAAACTTGACTTGTCCTCAGAAGGTTTGTCTATCCAATTCATCATATCGTTATCAGAAGTTCTTAAAAGTTATCTCATGGAGAATTCAAGATTCTGCGATTTATATTTTATTTAACTGAAAAAAAAAAACTTAATAAAAAATATGATGAACGATTTAATCATTAAATCCTATCAAAAGATAAGCGATAACTTGGAACAAAATAACGAAAAAAAAGAGGATGAATTTGATGAATTTAGAGTTAAGTATTACTTTCGTTTTTTATTAATGATGAAAATATAATATAAATAAGATAAACTTGGTTGTCGAACGGGGTACTCTTAGAGTCGCTTATTTGGGACCAGATCTGGTCGTCGATAAGCTCGATGAGAATCGCTTAATAGATCATACCCAAACGGGGACTCTTAAGAGTTACTTAGTAGGGGCCTAGTATTTGACCTTATTTCTCTGAAGCTTATTATTTTTTCATTAACTAAAATCAAATACTAATTAATTTATATATTATGTATATTAGCTTGAACTTGAAATCGCCTGGGACTACCTCGAAAAATATAAAATTAACTGCAAAGTTTAACGACCAAAATGATAACGATAAAAATGACAACGAAATCAAAAACGATGTCAATGAAAATAAAGATGACGACTACGATAGAAACAATAACAACAAACGAGAGAACAATAATAATGATGACGACGCCGACGTTGAGATCAATAATAGAAGAAAACAACATAAAAAGTGTGATATAAAGATAACTACGACATCAACGATAATAACAATAGAAAAAGAGAAAATTGATATCAAAATGCTATAATAAACATTAGATATCTTAAATGGGCATTTCTGTTAATGGCAATCTAACAAAAAAATGTGACAATTGAAAAAGATAAGGATGTTGGTATTAATTTCTTGTTAATGTTTCTTTCGCCGTTTAGCGATTTCAGAAAGAGAAACAAAAAAATCAAAAACTCAAGAGAGAAAAGATATTATGCTAATTTATAATCAAGTTTGGTTCAATATCGCATCTTTTTGGTATTCGTTTATTGGTTTACCTCGAAAATATCGGGTCTTTTTTTTTTGGCACCTCGCCCCCGTTTTTATTCTCCATTTTTCTCCGCACTCCGCCTCCTCATTGGCATACTTGGCAAAACTGGAATAAATAACCTTACATGGGAAGCCATTCCGCCGGTGGTTGTTTCCGGATTTCCTGCCTCTTTACATACTTGGCACTTTGCTCTGTGATTCGTGTTATACCAACAACGAACAACCAGTGGATAATCAACTACGTACATGTACATGTATCACCTGTTATAGATATTTCTATTTCATATCGATATTAATATTCAACTTTTTTTGGAATAGACTTGGTGTTATTGTCGTACTACATGTATTTTTCAGCGAACTTTTTTTAGTTGTAACGTTTTCTTAATACTGACATTCTTTGCAAACTTCTCGTATCTAGAGTAATTGTGCATGATACGAAGACCCAAAAGTTAATGCTTCATTACATATTTATACCGTACATTAACATAAAAAAATTTGGTTGGAGTTTAATAATTGTATTTTATTTGAACTCTTATATTTGCAAAATTATGTTTATTAATACATCTACGTATATGTTATTTGTCGCGAATTCATTTAATTTATACAATACAACAATATAGAATCCATAAAATTATTCTGCTTACGTATCTCTATGAATTGTGAATTTTTATTCTAATAATGGAATGTTCTAGTATTCCATATAAATATATTATCTAAAAAAAAATATGCGCCAAGCACCACTTTAACTGTCGAAATGTGTACCAATATTATCAACATCCTTTCTCCTCTAAAATGTATGTTATCACAACATCTTTATTCAAATCAAGTAGTTAGCATTTTTAGTTTTCTCCCACTTTTTACCCACGTTATCCCGTGATTATCCGAATTATAAATCATCTAATAAAGCATAAATCATCAGTTTTTTAACATTTTTTACGTCACCGCATACTTCATTTTAGTGCAAGTTTATTTTCAATTTTAATTAAATTACGAAATTATTGCCAATAATAGTTCTTATTTATAGCATAATGAGAAGAATTTATTCATACCGAAATTTAATTACGATTAGCTTTATGGACACTAACGCTAACAATATTACGCATATGACGTTCATGCAATTCATCCCAAAATTGTGTGCAGCCAGCCCAAATTAAGGTTGGTGCTGGATCGACATCAAATTGCTGGATTCCAATACATGTACAAACATGCACAACATTCTAAATAGAAATAGAATTACTAAAAAAAGGCTATATTAACAAAAAAAAGTTGCCTATCTTTTCCAAATTAACGTATGTATCTCACGGCTAGAAAAGTCTCATTTTATTACATAAAAATGCAAGTCTTTTGGTTAGATGTCGACTCTCTCTAAAGGTGTTCAAGAACAATGCGTACATAATGCATACACTTCTGCGTAGAATAGAAACTAAAACGTGTTCATTAAAAAGTTATCAGCTCCTCGTCTGCTATCTCTGCGAATTTTGCTATAAAAACGCGGGTATTGAACGTTTGTCAAAGCAAGCAAAGCAGTAATAATTCCTTCATTAAATCATATAATCAAATAAAACTTTTGATATATACTTTTCAACATTCAAAATGAAGAGCTCTTTGATAATTTTGCTTTTGTTTGCTTCTTTCGTATTCGCTGTGCCCGTTGACAAACGCTTATTGCCCAACATTAATCCGGCATCATGCAATGGATTCCGTATCACTTCCCCTACTGTACCATATTATTCTTATACTGAAGGTGATATAAATTTTCTCCACATAATTTTACTTGATTGTTCTAATGTCTAGACAGAACAAAACAAAATATTAATCTTCTTTATTTAATACACTGTTTAGGTCAATGCTATCAAATTTCTTTCGATAAAGGAGCAAGCAGCGTCGTAAATGTGACTACAGTTGATTTATTTAAGGGATGCGATAACACTCTTGTTGCAAGACAATTCACTGGAAAGGTAGATGTTAACACGCAAATTGCTACTCCATACTTCAATTTGGAGTTCGGTGATCTTCCTACCGCAGACTATTATTATAGCGTCACAGCTTTAACTGCAGATGGAGGGACATGTACCTTTATAACAGTTCCATTCGAAGGTATCGCTGATCATGTTAATCCACCAGCTCAATGTCCTAAATATCCTCCATCTTAATTCATATTGTAATTTCTGATTCATGTCATGATATAAATGAATCATTTTGTATTTATATTCTAATTATGAACTTATAATAAATAATTGATTAAGGTTGTGCTTTTTAATTTGGAAGCATCGTTGAAATTGTTATTAGTATGCTTTTCTAGTCTTTCAAACTAACAAGTTATTTGTAATTACAAATCAAATTACGTCAAATCCTCAATGATGAGAATGCGTAATCAATAAATATTCATTATTTATCTAAACTTAGTGATTGGTCATTAATAGATTTTAATTTGTCCTTTAGAAATTCAACAGTCTTATATTAATACGCTTCGAAAAAATTAAAGAAAAAACTTTACATTTATTGAAACAGATCATACAATACAAAATAAAAATTAACAAATTCACTATTCAAGTAAGAGAAAAAACAATCAACTAAATTAAGCATTTAACAAGACACTACTATTCACGATATACAGCTTCATCTAAAGTCTTTGGAATAATTTTAATAAGATGTTTTTTTGCACCTGTCCATTTTTGTTATCACGGAAGAAGTAGAACAAAAAATTGTATTAATCACAGTATTTCCTAAATAAAAGCGATGTAAAATTACACTCCATGTTGCACAATATCACTCTGATACGGAGTGCACAGTATAACATTTGGGCAGGAGAAAAGAGAAAATAAAATGGCTGAGGGGTAAGAGATACCGTAGTGGCATTTCTGCAGTAATGCAGGCCAAGCTTAAGTTTATTAGCCAAAATTAAAGATTTATGTGGTAGTGTGACGGAATTAAGTTTATTTGAAAATTCGTGGTGAGTGCATTTTTGCAATAAACTGGAGAATGAGCAGATACCCAACTTGGTCATGTGGCGCAGCAGTTGTGGGACTAGGTGTCCCGCACTATAATAAAATTAAAAATCAAAATGTGTCGCGGATCATTGTGAAACTCATATAATATGTTGATTATAAGGTCGGGGTTAGGGTTAAAGATTAAAGTGAAGCGAAGGTTATATATAAAACTATCGCCCTGACATTTTTATTAGTGCTCCAAGCTTTTTTATTTCTTTATTTTGCCGCTGATCAAATTTGAATTCTTATTGGTTTGTGCTATCCGACATGTGATAATTTGCCGCATCATAACGTGCGTATTGGTTGGTTTCACAATGATCCGTGACATGTACGTACTAAGGATTTATCTCCTACGTGACCTGGTCAATAACCTATTCATTTGCCACGAATTGTATTATTTTATTTTGAATTTATGTTGATTCATTTTTAATAGCTTATCAGTTGGTAGTACGCGATAAGCATATGCTATTGTTAGAGTTTCGCGACTAAAGTCAAAGAAATTACAAATCCGTGCATCACAGAAATACATTGTAGCCATGATCAAAGAGAGTCCATTACAAAATTTCTCATGAATATACACGTGTCTATATGTTTAATTGAATTTCCTTATACCACAATATGTTGCAGCCTGTTGTAATTATACATGTACCATGAAAATGGATATACAAGAAAAATTGTGAGATGAAATATTTAATTGTTCTTATGTTTTCAGCAAATACGAAGTGCAAATAGTTGCTTTGATTATTCGGATACAGCCATTTAACGTTAAATTTTCTGGACAATGAATATCAGACAATAGTTGACATTTTAATTCGATACAATAACTATGAAAAAATGACAATGCTTTATCCTCTATTTTATATTTGAAACTTAAATTCTTTAATTCGATACTTATTAGAGAAAAAATTTTAAAATGCTCAATATTTAGTGTGTCAATTCTCCTCAAATAAAATTTAAAAGGATCGCAAAAACAATAAAAAACCGTATGGCGAGTGAATAAATTAGATTTTGTGGATACTATTCATGCAAAAAATTCACTTTCACCGAATGAACTATGTCTATTAGCCATTATATTAGATAAACTAGACACTCAGTGTTGGGAAATTTTATTCACTGCTTGGTGAACTCGCAACTATGGAAACAGCTGAGACTGAGTTTTCAATAGAAACAAGATATTAAAGCCATGTATTTGAAAATTTTGCAAGGGAAATTTTTTGATAGTTTAATTCTCATCTACAAAGTAAAGAGTAATTAATTATATTAAAGGTAAGATTTTTCTAAACTTCAAAAGACTCTTGCCTTCTTCAAGAGTTGAGAGGAAGGGATTTTATAATTCAGAAATAATTATATTTAGGTAAAATACCAACTTCAGTATTCTGTTTCAAGAGTTAATTATTGACTATAAACTTAAAAAACGTTCTGTGTGTTATGCTTTTGTCAGACCATTGTGCAGATATGAAAGATTAACGTTAACGTTAAAATTATTTTTGCTATTATTCTCCCCTCCCGAAGCTTTTGTATTCTGCTCCCAAATGTCTCATTACCTGTTTTTTTTTGTTTCTCCCCATTCAGTAAGTATTCCGAATGTTCGTCATTTTCGCGTAGCATAATAATTTCCGCCTATTGGTTTCGTCATCTGCTCAATGATTTTTTGATAGTGGAGGTGATGAGTTCCAGTAGTAGCCCCATGTTTTGCGAGTGTTCGGTATTC